AATTTTTTTTTTAAAAATTGACCAACTTTGAGATTTTTTTAAACAATATATAATCAAAAATTAATTTAATTTTTTTTATAAATATATTCTATAAATCTTCAAATATTAAATATATTTATTTATTATAAGTTAATATGTAAATTTTATGTAATTATATTTTAATTCAAATGTATCAAGTTAGTGTATCATATTTAATGAGACAATCAATATTTTGTTAAATAGTAATTAGTAAGTAAAAAACAAGTTTACTAAAAAAGAGTTGGTTCTGTTTAAAAAAATATAAAATTATCAATTTGTATTTCTTGGAAAGTAATTTTAAATTTTTCTTAAAATAGTTTTTCTACTTTATATATGATAAAAACAAATCTAAATAAAGTTTTAGCATAATTGCAGAAAAAAAAAAACCTAGATTAATATAACTAATTAATCAAATTTATACAGATTAATATAACTGAATAATTGAATTTAACTGAATTAATATAAGTAAATAATCAGATTTAACTTAAGATAATATAACTAATTTATATTCAGTTTTAATTTTTGAAAAGTTACAAAACTAGTTAATTAAAATAAAATTAGTTTTAATTACTATTTTTATCTAAATATTGAAATACTCTAGAAAATGAATATTTATCTCAAATATGAATACTACTCTTAATAGTAGAGTTTTTATAAAAATATCTTGCTAAAGCAGTATAACAATTATAAATAGTGTAATAAACAAAATATAACTTAGCTGTAGACATGTAAGTAAGTAAAAAATGTAACCTAGCTATAAATATATAAAAAATATAATTATAACCTAAACTAAGATCTTAAACTGAATCTTCCTAAACTAAAGTTCTGAACTGAAGTTTTCTAAACTAAGGTTCTAAATCAAAGCTAAACTATAGGATCCTACATATAAAATAGTATTTATTAATATACTATATTGAGTTTAGTTTGAGATAAAACTTATTAAGAATAATTGAATAATAGCTTTATGTTATAATTATATAAATAAATCATTGTAGCTTATAGATTCTCTTTTCTTTAATACTTAATTTAGTTAAGCTATATCAAAACTTCTACTATATTATTCTTGTATAAAAGTTCTGTAATTTCTATAGTGAAGTAAAGAAAAGTTATTGTTTAATATTAATAAAAACATATCTTAAAACTAGGATCTTAGTGATAGTAAAATTCTTAATTTTCAAACCAAATCTTCTATACCTTTCTTTTAAATTGCTTTGTGTTTTTGTATTATGTTTGTTATGTTTTAACTATAAAGAATCTAGCAGTCTCAAATTTGTTTCTTATATTTTAGTAGAGACTATAAGATGTGAAATAAAAACTATAAGATAAACTACTAAAAAATTAAAAAAAAACATAAAATTGAAGCTGAAGTCTTGAGACAAAAAGTGAGTAAACCTGCTTATAAATTACAAAGATATACAAAAATAGTATAAAGTAAATCTGTTTATAAGTTATAATAATAATATCTGATCTAATAAGGAATAAGACCTATGCAAAAAAGAAGAAATGTCTGCAGACTAAAGAACTGTAATAAAAAGAAACAAAACAAAACAAAACAAAAATAATAATAAAAAAATAACTATGAAGTAAAAAGAAGTCTAAGCCTAGATAGTCTTAACTTATACTTGTATTTCTTACTCAAGTTATTCTTTATTTTCTCCAAACCAAAGTTTAGAGACTCTTTCTCTAAGCTTAAATTCCAAGTTGAAGCCTTTCTTTTTTTTTAACTAAAGATAAAGTATCCTGTTCTAGTTCTGCTCTGTGAAGTTCTTTCCTTGTAATTTTTATACAAGACATATAAAATAAAGCTAGAAGAATTGTGAGAGGTAAAACATGATCTAGCTATAGGTACAAGAGTAAGTAAGAAATATAATCTAGCTATAAACATATAGGAAACATATAAACTAAGGTTTTAAACTAAAGTCTCTCAAACCAAAGCTAAGCTACAAGATCCTATATATGAAATAGTATTTAATAATATGCTATATTAAGTTTAGCTCAAGGTAAAGCTTATTAAGAATAATTAAATAATAGCTTTATATTATAGTTATATAAATAAATTATTGTAGCTTGTAGATTTCCTTCTACCTGATACTCAATTTAGTTAAGCAGTATCAAAGCTTCTACTATATTTTTCTTGTATAAAAGTCCTATAATTTCTATAGTGAAGTAGAGAAAAGTTATCATTTAATATTAATAAAAATATACCTTAAAACCAGAATATTAGTGGTAATAAGATTCTTAGTTCTTAGACCAAATCTTCTATGCTTTTCTTTTGAGTTGCCTTATATCTTTGTGTTATATTTGTTATATTTTAACTATGAAGAACCTAGTAGTTCCAAATCTGCTTCTCACAATAAATTCAACTTTAAATAGTATACTATCTTTTTTTGTAAGCCAACTAAGAAATAAACTTAAAAATATATCAAGTTCTTCTTTATCATCAAACTGTTTAAGAACTTTGAAATAGTTTTTGCTTTCTAATACTAATCAATATGATGCATCTACTTTGAGATATTTTTTTTCAGTATTTACAACAAATGAGAGATTTATTAAATATTGAGCTTCTAGATCTTCAACCATAAGACTTCTGTTTGACATATTAATTGATATATTAATTGATATATTAAAAAAGAAAATTTAAATTAGTAGACAAGAAGTTTTATGAACTAAAAATAAAAAATTACAAAAAAAAAAGCTTAAAGTGATGTATAAAACTTATAAATACTTAACTACCTAATATCTTTCAATTATTTTATTCACATTAATTTAGTCATTAAGTATTGTTACAGACAGAATTGTTAGTTACTACCAAGTATTATGAATAATTTAATAAGTTATTACTAAATATTACTAGTAATTCATATACTTTCTTTAAGCTTCTCACTAAAGGTATGATATTAGTGATTTGGAAAATAGAATTCAATAATTATGATCAACCTTATATGCCTTTATCTTATATATAAGAGTTATTACCTATCTAAGTTGTTGTTATAATATTCTTTATATAGTTTATTAAATATATGCAAGAAAGCTTAAATGCTTCTATCATATAATTTTATTATATGATTATTAGCATGTTATTTCTTAAAAGCTTAGTTCAAATGACTTGTATGCAAATTGAGGCTAAATGTAGATAAATTCTTGGATATTGTTCAGATTAACATGTCATAGACTTAGTATTACTACTTTAGACTTTTGACAAAGTCCTAACTCTATTTTTTAGTATCATCATTTTTATACTATAATATTCTCTTACACTTATTTTGTATATACTATATATAAAAATGCTAGTTAAAGTTGTAATTAAGAGGTCACCAGTATTCATTTTTTCATTTTTGGTTCTTCATAAGTATTAGGTTATTCAAATAGAACCAAATATATGCTTATCTAATCTAACATAATAATCAAAATTTACAGAGATAAACTTCATATATTCTTCTTTGTAAATTCTTACAAGTTTTATATCAAATTCAAATTCATTAAATATTTTGTCTATTAATATTTCTGCTAAAAATAACATATAGTATAACTCTATAAATATATCTTTAGAAATATCTTTAAGTAATTGTAATTTAGCCTGCTAAATAAGCTCTTAAAAATTTTTTTTATATGTTATGACTTTTAAATTTCTTCAAAAAATAAAAATTTTTTTCCTTAATATTAACTAAGGTCTTGAGTATAATGATACTGGTTGGTTCATATGCTCTTTTACTTATATCATATTTTATATATCATCTAACTAAGTTGCAAAATATACAGAGCCAAATTCACTTTTTCTAATTTCTTTAATATCAGATAATTATCAAATTGAATCTATTCAATTATATCTTTGTATTTATTAGCTCTAAGTTGAAATTCTTTAATACAATCATTAATAACTTTGTTTTCATTTGTCCATCCTTATGCTGTGATATCAGGATTATATGCCAGATATCTTACTGATTGAGTATTATTTTTATTATAAAGTATATATTTGCTATTGTTACAAGTACATCCTTTTCTAAACATTATATAAATATAAAATGTTAGTATTCTTAAAGCTTATAATATATATTTTTCACACAGACTCTTTCCGTAGATCATTTTGACCATTTCTGGAGCTAAAGAAAAAACAGAAATAAGTCAAAATTTAGACTAAGAAACAGTAGTAGAAGGACTAACTAAAAAGAAAAATAACTAGAAAATACACATATTATATTAGAAGAAC